AGAAGTCCCCAGTTCTGCAGAAATAAAGGAAAGTCAAGCTGGCAAACATGCTTATAGTTGTTGAAAAGGAAAAGAAATCATACAATTAGCTGCACTCTAAGTACCAACAATTACAATCAAGTGTGATGTTTTCTTGGTGTAAACCTTTAAGATGTTTCATATGTTGAAAGTATTAAATTAATTTATCAACTACCTAACTTGGTGGTAACTGAAATGTCTGAAAGAAATCAGTCTCTGTTTGATGAGACTACAGAAATGGAACCAATACTCATAAATGGGAATAAGAAAATATTAGCAGATCAACTGGTGTAAAAATAGGTATTCTTCTCTGATGTTCTGTAGAACCTGTGGATCCTTCTGCTGGTCACTGAATTTGATTCATCCACATTATCATTGTCATCAGCAGTAATTCAGTATTATCATTCATCATCAAAGCAAGCTGCGACAAACAAAATTAATTTCTGGGCACATGATACATCTGAACGTCTGTTATACAGCGCATTAGACTGATTATATGCAACATAACAAATTATGTGGAAAATATTCTTGTTAAATATCTCGGTGCCTATTTTTAAGGCATATTTGAACAACCAATACAATGCTCCAAAACACATGTGAATCACTCCACAAATAGTCTTCACTTTTATTGCAAATTGCAGTCTTCTTTTCACATTTAATCCTTAAATTGGATGTGAAAAATAAAACTCAGAAAATTCCTCCACATACGTAAATGAAAACATGATCACTAAAACAACTGAGAAGTCTGAAACTTTTACTGATTTACTGCTGAAAATTTTGCTTAAAGTAGATGTTATCAAAGAATGGAAATGCAAACTTGTTTAGTTATTTCTTCTGTTATCAACTGTTAAAAAACCTCTAACGGCCACTAATGAAATCTCTGCTCTCCCTGGGGCAACAACTTATATTTAGCATTGTTCATCCTTGACAACAAGCCCTGAACCTGCTTTAATCTGAAACCTTACTGTCACACATTTCTACATTAACTGACTCACTTTCTGATGTCTGTCTTTTATATGATTTAAATATTTCAGTTTTGATCTTTTCACACAGTAAGGCTATTCGAATAAAACATTCCCATGTTGCTTTCTGATTTTTCCTATTTGCTGTGTGTCTTGTGTTACTGTGCTTTATCCTGTTCCTCTGTGCGTCTGCAATGACCCAGTTTCCCCACAGGGATCTAATGCTGTCCCTGCCCACCTCCACAACCTCATCCAACTATGATTCCCTTCATTTCACATGGTGAGAGAGAGGGAGAGCCTAGAAAAAACCGCTTCACTGTAATTTTAAAATTATGTTAAATATTTCTCTCTGGTTTTAAGGAAAGCAGCTATTAATTCAAGATGTGAAAACTTGATGTCATTTGTTTCCAAATAACCACAATGATTTCACTCAGACATCCCAGGAAGAGAGGCCGTCCCTCTAAACAGAGGGCTGGACAGATCCTCATATAGAAAATGGGCTTTAATTATTATACAGGCAAGCCTGAAGGCAGTGTTGGCTTCAGCTAATGTGATGAACCCTCATTGTGGCAGTGTCACTACAAATGCTACAAATAATGAAAAGCAACAGAGGATCAAAGCCTCTAAGCTCCTCACTTTGCACCAGCAGATTCATACCTTCCTCACCTACTTTTTCCTCTGCTGTTAAAGTCTGAAACAGAGCAGAGGAAGCGTGCCCTCAGGTCTCCCTCAGGCCAGCATACCACCACAGCTTCAACAGTCAGCATTACAGTGGAACCAGCTTCTGTGAACATATGTGCCTTTTTTTATACTTATAACTCATTTGTAAGGGAGTAAAATTTCCCTGTTATGACGCAAAACAACCTCTGCATCCATAATCACAGACTACTAGCATGTCTATATGTTGATTCTTTTCAAAGCTTTAGGGACAGTGTTAGCTGATTCCTAAGTCTGTGCATTCTTTTGTCCTTCAGAGGAATGATTTGCTATAAAATCAGTGCATCCTAGGAATGTTTAGTCGAGGGCTACGTGATGATGTTTATAACATCATGGTCTCACATCACTGATTTTTTACATTTTCACTAGTGATTAATTTATTTTATCACTCGCTATAAAAATTAAGACTTTTGGTTATATTGGATTTTTATATCACTTCTTATATCAGTACAATAAAGTGTTAATGTAACATACTATATTAAAATACATTTAATATTCATATGCCGTGAACAAAATTTCATCAAGGATCTTACAAAATTTTATTTGCAGTACATCATTATAAACTATACATCTGATCGGTGGTAATGCTTTGATGTAATCTAGATCATTACGTAAGACAACAAATATTATCTCCACAAAGATTTGGAATCAGTGTGATGGGATTTATTTCTGATGTTTGGAAACCTTTAGTTTTATATTTAAAATTCAATACACTTTTTATATGTTCATTGTAATATTTACAATTCTTTGTTTAATTAAAATGAAATAAATTACATGTGCACTCTGCACAACAAAATCTCCAGTGTTGAATTAACACTAGAGAGTGTATATATGGGTCTACACCTCTGAGTGTTAAATACAACACTGTTGAGTGTTAAATTAACACTTTTGACAGTGTTATATGTTTAAAAGTAACCTAGTCAGTTTTGAAGATTAACAATGGCTAACACTGAGCAGTGCTGATTTTCTAACACTGGAATATTTCTAACATTTTGAGTTATTTTCCAGTGTTAGAAAATCAGTACTGCTCAGTGTTAGACTTTGTTAATCTTCAAAACTGACTAGGTTACTTTTAAACATATAACACTGTCAAAAGTGTTAATTTAACACTCAACAGTGTTGTATTTAATACTCAGAGGTGTGGACCCATATAGACACTCTCCAGTGTTAATTTAACACTGGAGATTTTGCTGTGTGGGATGATGCCTTCAAAATGCTATATTTAAGCATGCCAACTATTACCGCAGGTCAAAGACAGAAAAGCAGCAGATCCTCACACTGACGCAAATGCCAGCAGCATTTTTGAATTTTTACCCCACGAATTACTGTGACACATCACTGTCATGATGATTTTGACTCACTACTCATTACTGCTGATACACTTCCACTGACTTCCAATCCCCTTTACATTTTGTAACACAGTTGTTAAAAATGTGAATTTTGGTGCACAACAGCAGGGGAGAAAAGAGAGGTTAATCCCAGTTTAATACAGTGATGCACAGCCCAGGACCGTGGCTGTGATGATTGTGTTATCTGCAGACAGCATTTAAGTCTCCCTCAATTTCAACCCAGGTAAAATAGCTGGAGGAAAGTGAAGGTGAAGTAGAGTAAGTGTGAATGCCCGGGGAAATTGTTATTAATAGCTGCAACTTCCCACAGACTGTGCTCTCTGCAAAAAAGCTTCCCGTCACCTCCACTGGATTTGTTTGAAGTGCTTTCTCTATCCTCACTGTGTACCTTTTTTCTTTCAACCAGGCTGGACTCTAGAGGGTTTTTTTCTACATAATGCTTATTTATATCTTTAAGACACAGCATACGCACTAAATAGCTATAAACTGTAGAAAGACAGCCTGGACAGCTGTTTAACTGGATTCCAGTCACCTCCAAGAAGCATTTTCAGTGTTTTCTACAACGTGACAGTAATTTACAGAACCAAGGCCGTTACTTTGAAGCTTTGATATGTACATTTAGCAAACGTAAACAATGATCCTAACTGAAGATTAACAGTAAGTTTGTCATTTATCAGTTATATGTAAATGTCAGACTATCACGTGTTCGTGTGTGTGTGTGTTACTTTTAAAGGTTATTTCAAATTAGGCTTTCTCATTTTATGTCGTTTTTAGCTTGCTGTAATCAGTGCTCACATATCATGTAAATAAAAAAATCATCTCATATAATTGATCAAATAAAACTGGTAAACAGTACCCTTCAATGAGTTTGTCTTAATCACTACTGCCTCTTCCATTCAACCTAAAATTCCCTCTGACTCCTGCTGAAATATGTACAGCACACCACCAAAAGTAAACATTAAAATTAAAATTATTATATATATATTTAAAAAATACTATCTAAACAAGGGGAGCGGAAAGCTTACTATCTCATGAATTTATGCTGCAGGCTTCACACCATGAAGTGAGCCACTGAGAGATGAAAGTGAAAAGAAATAAAAGGCTCAATTTAATCTGCTTTAAGGCCCTTCAACAGCGTGTGCCTGGGACTGTGAGAGTGAGGGCTGATAGGGGATAAATATATTTCTTACCATGCCTTCCAGCTATTACACCCCTCTCCAACACAGACGCCTATTCAACAGAGGCAGGTTTCATTACCAGTTGTAATAGGCTAAGTCTTCAAATTATGAAATGCCAAGCTCGGATGACACAGAGACACTAGCTGGGCTGATCTTTTGAAGAATGTGGAAAGGGGGAGACTTGATAGCTGTTTGAAAAAAAAAAATCACCAGTGAAACCAGTGGTCAGAAAGCACTGGGCCCGCTGCAGGCCTCAAGTTTAAAGAACAGACGGCTGTCCACACGCTACATTCAAACATGCTGCATCGACGTCACTTTAATAAAAATGAACTAAACAAAAGCTTCCAACCGCCATGTATACGTGTGTATATGAAAGAAATATGAAGAGGGGATATTTAACACCTTCCATTAAAATCGTACTATAACGATATATTTACTATGCCTTTTCATTTTAAAAGTTGTGAATTTAATACATGCATATATGTAATTGTGCCATTTTTGGCTAGGTTCATGTATTTATTTAGCGTTTGTTTGTAGGCTAAATGTCATTTCAGAGGAAAATTCTGCTTGAAATTGGTATCCACACACGGAGCTGACGGCCTGGCTCCTGTCGCCTGTGATCGGTATGGACATTTGTCACCGTTTAGCGTGACGGGAGCCCGCGCCACCGCTCACCATGAATATTTAAGCGGCTCCAGGCGGGAGAAGTCATGGGGCAAAACGCCCGTTTAGACCTGATTAGCAGACAGTTAGCCGCTAGTCCTCCCGGGGCCTACCTTTGTCCCCGAGGATGCCGTCGATGCTGTGTTTCGTTTTCTTTTCTCCGTCCTCTTCCTTTTTATCGCACTCATCCTCATCTTCCTTTTTCCCAAAACGAGCGCGAAGTACACGGCTGATCGAACTCACTGCGAGCAGAAAGGCATCTTTAGCAATAACATAATAATAATAATAATAATAATAATAATAA